AGATCTCTTTGAGAAGTATCTCCTGAGCCATAGGAATGGGAAGAATTGGTAGATCACTCTCGACATCCATCTCAAGCAACACTTCTTTGTCTCTGAAGCCATGTTTGACGAGACATTCAATGGTGTCGTCGGTAATCATTTTTGGATACTTTCTGAGCAAAAGTCTTGTAAAGCAGTCATCCGTTTGTGAAGTCATTGTAACTTTTGTGACAAACACTGGAGGTAATGCTTATTTCAATTAATTATTTGTATATTTAATGATTAAATCTAATTATAATTGTGACTAAACTCACCGAAAATGTGTCCAAATTTGTGAATATCTTGAGAGATATTGAGAGGAATGGGAGGAATGGTATGATTTTGTGTGATAACAGAATTTGTGATGACTTTACAGTCTATTCATATTCAATAGACTCTACAGTATTGCTTTGAATATTGCATTCATGTTTGAAATTCAAATACAACACAATTATAATAAATTAATGTTTATTCGTTATAATGAACAATCCAATTACACTAATTAATAACCAAAATTTCAAATTTAATTGTTTAATTTTATTTATCATTTATCGTAAGTCTTTTACTTTTATAGAAAACACATTGTACTAGAATATACAAATTATCGCAAATTAAATCAAGTCTTGTAATTAAAATACAGTTATGAGGTATATATTAGATAATAAATTTTAAAATGTGTTCAAATAACATACAGTAATGTCGAGTATTATGAATATTGAACACAAGATGTTGATTGCAATTAAAAATATAAACAATTACCGTATAGATGATTACGGTATGATAAAACAATTAGACAAACAATTCATCATTTCTAAACGAAATTTCACTGAAAATAAACAATTAAATAATTGTTATAATTAAAACAAACAAATGTGTAATTGTGTATTATTAAGTAGTGATTATAAAAATTAAATACACTATAAAAATATGATTATATTAGTTAATACTGGTTATAAAGTTATGTTATGAATATTAATTACAAAACATTGATTACGGTATACACAAAATTATGTAAAACAATACAAAAGACAATCAAGACATTCAATTGGTTTAGAAGTGATTCTTGAGTCTCTGGTGAGCAATCAAAGTGTTATGATATTTATAGCTCTTAATGCAGCCAATGGCCGGGCAGTCAAATCTGATATTTAAGTGGTTGGCCTTAATGTGTTCCTCGAGACCCCAAGCATTCTGGTATCGCTTATCGCACCCAATATCATGACATCGGAACGGCTTTCCCCACACGGCTTTCATCCTATCATTAGTTAAACACTTAATCCTATGTCTATTACATCACATCCGGGATAAACACATTCATACCGTTTCTGTCGATTACGACCATTTCTTTGACCATTGATTGGGGCGCCGGTAGGCATGGGGTCGAGTCTATTGAGAACCACTGAGCACTCGGCCAAACTCTGGTCATCATTGGAGTCCACCTGTCCATCGGTGACCATCCCTCGGACCGAACCATTGGACACACGATTCAGAACTCGAGTCGTGCGTAAACTTCGGCCACCAAATGCCCCCGAAGTCGATGGACCACTGGTCGAGGCTATGGGTGACAAGAAATCAGTGATTACTGGATGTGTTATGAGGTGACAGTGAATGCTATTCATGAATACCTATAGGAAGCGCTGTTGCGGTCGATGCGAGTGGTGCCGAGGGATCAGCCATTGGTTCAGTCTTTGACGCGTTGGTCCCGAACTGAGCGTTCATCTCATCCATGGTGTCCCTGAGATTCCTCTCCAGAGTAGTGTCCAAACTCTGTTTATCCATCGTTTGGATCGGAAGTAAAATGGTTTTCACAAACTCCTGCTGAATGAAGCGTAGCGGCAGTTTGGACAGCACCCTGTCGATGTCCATCATCGCCAGGTGCTCGCGGTCTGTGAAGCCAAACCCGGTCAACGAGTCGATGGTGTCCTCGCTAACCGTCGGGTACTTCTTCAGTAACTTTCTGATGAAGCAATTGTCTGTTTGGGCGCTCATTATAACTGCGGTCATCAAACATATGTTTGTATTAATGAACGCATGTATTCATTATCATTACAACTAATACTTATTGAAGTTGTGGTCAAATGTGTGGACAATGAGTTGTTTGGTGTGACTGTAAGAGGAATGGGAGGCAAATGGGAACCACTTTGCGAGACAATAGCTAAACACTGACTAAACTTTATTGTTACTCACCGTTCAGTCGTTCAAAATGATTGCATCACTCATTCAATACATTTCAACGATTGCACTGAATATAGGGCGAGGAGTGGTACACATATTCTGTATGTATTTAATGGGGTGGGCGGGCGTTGAAATAGTTGAAAAAATGTTCTGGGTTACATGATAATTAAGAATTAATGAAATTTGTGTTCATTTGAATTAAATGAGAGATTTATAGCAATGTGTTCACTAATATACAGTTTAGATTTGTACACATTTTGGTTTGGCCTACAATGCACTCACGCGAACACCCCTGTCCCCTTTTATTTATGTAACATTTGTTGTGAATATTTGCGACAAAACTTCAAACAAATGCCGATTACTATTGCAATCAATAAGTGCCTAAAAGTCGCTAAAAGTTTTGCCAAATATTTGCAGTTTATTTCACACATATTTTGTCGAAATTAAATATTTAGAGAAATTTATTTGAATTATTAATTTTTATTTATTTTACAAATTATATTTATACTGGTAACATATTATTATTATTATAATCAAAATTATGTCAAATTGTATTACAAATTAAAAACTTATGTCAATTAAAATGAATGATTGAAAACATTGTGTAAATTGTGAGTTAAAATTAAACAAACATTTTTACACTGCACTATCAAATTCAAACAAATAGTTAATGAGTTATACTTTGATTAAAAACATTTTTAACTACACATTTACAAGTGATTCATAAAAATTAAATCTATAATAACATACATTAAGTTATATAAGCTATTGATTACATTGAAATGACATTCAATTGCAGTGAATATCAATCAGTATTTAAAATAGAAATTAATAATGATTTGGGATTTTATATCAAAATAATTAAGTTTTTATATCAGAATAAGTATTTAAACCGTTTTATAGATTACATACAACACTCTTAACTAAATGAACACCATTTACGTGATCATTAAGACCCTGAGCAGTCGTGTAAGCCTTATTACAGCTACTATACCGACACTTGAATGGCTTGATTGGACTCACGAGTGGGCCAACCAATGGCTGATCCTGTGGTCTACTTCTTGTGACCATTGCATGCATTGATGGCTCACTTTGCGAACCATTTGTCTCGGGAAGCGATGAGACATTTGTGGTACTCGTTGAAGATGTCGACGACAGACAGTCACTATTACTGGAATCAATTTGTGATGACATTGATTGGGAACCGTTTATCATATTTTCGGTCACTTCTTGTCCGGCATTCGTGTCGATTGAGTCCACGTTTGGCTCATTTTGGTTGTGATTGAATTCAATTGATTGGCTCATCTGATCCTCAAGTATTTTGGCCACAATTTCCAGACCAATCACAGAACTCTTGAGGACATATCGTGTGCCGATTGCGGACTCACATGTCTTGACTAATGAATGGCAAACAGTGTCTTCCTCTGCGGTCATAACTTCTTCAGCGATCGTACGGTTCATTGAAACGCTTCACACAACCAATGATTGACTGCAATGCGAGACAAATGGCAAACATATGACTGAATCGTTTGATTCACGCAATCTTTCAATGCACTGATCGGTCAGTAATAACGTCTGAATTGTGTGTTTGAAAGGCATTCACAGAATATTCTACACAAATAGTACAGAATATTCTGTTTATAACTATATCGTAGAATACAGTATATTATATGTAAATTACATTTCTCATTTCTGCATTAATTTTTATTGATTTTAAAATTTAATTTACAAAACTTTAAACTATCATTTAATAATATCAAGAATTTGAATTTCAAATGTAAGTTATAATTTAGTATTGATATAAATTTAACACATATTATTAATAATATTAAGTATCTAATTAATTGAAATCAATTATCAATATATAAATAATACAGTAATCTGTTAATTAAATATAAAGTTAATTGAATTTTAATTGATTTTACAAATTGAATTTTACTTTATTTATATTACTTTTAAATATGGAGAATTTAAATCAATTTTATTAATTTCATTACAATTTTCATAGATATTATCGATGGCTGTCTGTGTGACCACTCCCTGTCCAATGAGAGTATGGTGCGGATATGTCTCAATAATGACAATGAATTCAATGCCATATCTGTTATATTACGGACTCCACTGAGAGTTAAATCTTGAAGTTTCGGTAAATTGTGGCAAATATATAGGAAAAACTCATCGCAAATGTTGAGACCTCTATTAATACCACCGCCAGTAATACTTATATTCAAATGCGTTAATCTCTTTAATCCATTCAATGAATTTTGGTTAAGACTTGAATAATGTACACAAAATCCGCAAATATATAGACGCCTTAATCCCGGAAAATGTGTATTAATGGCGTGAATGACTAAATCCATGGGTTGTAGTGAACGGTAATTGTAATCATAGGAAATGTAATGAATGTATAGATTCTTGAGTTTTGCCCATTTGGGACACAATTGTGTCAAGAGTTGGAGGCAAACATGTGTAATATAGTCACCCGACAAACCCAGGGTAAAAATTATTAAGGCATTCATTTGCGATAAACTAGTTACAAGTCTATTAACGTCACAAATGGCTAACTTGGAGGGGACGTCCATATCCAGCGATTTCAATGTGTGGCCGTATTTTTGTGCCAATAATTCAATTTCATTCAAATCGATATCCGATTTATTATATCGAAAACTTTTCAACTCTTTAAATATATAATTGCTTTCATTTTGCAATGCAATCGGTAATTGAAAATATGTGAAATTATTACTGGATAATTGTCTGTACGATAATTGCAGTTCATTGACATTTTCGTAAAATGCAATACATTTACTAATCGTCTCGACGTGATTATCATTGAACTGCAATTTAATTGCTGTTAATTTGTTGGCAAACTTTTGCAAAAACATGAATATGATGGCATCACTACAATAAAATAAATTGATAGTCAAATGGTTCAAGTGATGGCAATGTTTGATAATTAATTGCATGATTGAATCGCGGGTACAATAGTCGCAATGAATGCGAGTTATATTCACACATTTGGTGGCAATTGATTCAAATATCTGCAAATTTCTCTTAATTAGTCCATTGAGTGAACAGTTTATATATAACCCCAATTGGGTGCTGAATATGACTTTCTGTCTGTTTGGACAGACATTCATATCTGAATCGGTCCCGAAATGACAGATAACTTAATATAACTTCAAGCAAATGATCACCGAATCGGTCCAAAGAGTCTCTGCTATAGATTTGAGACATTTTTACATCAAATTCAAACTCAATTCAAACAATTATTATACTTTCAATGCATTGAATTCAATGTGTTTTCCATATAAGAAAACGGATTGTAATATTAATATTAATAAACTGATTACTATATTTGTAAAAATGATAATTAAAATACTATTCATAATTAAATAATGCTAAAAACATAACTTAAATGTTAAAATAACATTGAATGTGAATAACTTTGAAAATAGTCATAAATTGATTTTAAAAGTATTAATTAATTACATTTTACTATTTAATGCATATCGAGGTTTAAAAATAATTTTAAATTCTTACTTAATTTGTAATTTGCAAACATTTATAATGACTAATTAATAACTTTATTTTAAATTCATGTCATTTAATGCATTAGTGTTAGAAATACTTGTTTTAGTGTTTGACTCAAACTTGGAGTCATTGAATGCATTCATTGTGTGAATCATTGACACAATGCTGTGAATTGAATGATTGAATGCAATACCAAAACAACTGTCAAACATTGCAATAGTAATGCAAATTAGAATAGGAAGTTGGGAACCCTTGTCCGACCCGACCCTTAAGGGTTTCGGACGGGAACGGGTTTGAATATTAAGGACCGGGTCGGGAAAGGGTTTCCCGTTGTAGAAATCAAAACCCTTCAAAAGCCCAAACCCTTAGAAAACCCTTATAATTTTCTAATAGTATTTATATGTTCTCTTAACTCGACCCCCAAAATGTCCATAAATTGTTGCTTATTAAATCTATTTTGATTTTTGTATACTTTAAAGCATTATATTAATGTAGGTTTAATGTTAAATTTTAATAAATGTTCATTTGATGTTAAACTTACGGCAATTTTGTTGATTTATATTTTAAGGGTTTTTCGGGTTCCCACAGGTTTCCCGGCATAGAGGTCGGGTCGGGTCGGGCTTCCCGTTTAAGGACACTAAGGGTTTGGGCCGGGCCGGGTTTCAAAAATTGGTCTAACTTTGGACTCTAATGCAAATCACAAATACATGTCTTTCCCTTTATCTCTCCCTTTCCCTTTGACTGTGACTTCAAAACCAATGTAATCACCAATTATTTGCCACTTTTGACCACTTTATCGGTAAGTTTGACACTCAATAGTTCAGACATTCACTCATTATATGAAGCATTCATTTAAAGCAACATTTGTTTCAATTGTTTTGTGACAACAGTTATAATGACTGCACAAACGGTCGACTGTTTTACAAGAGTTTTCCTCCAGAGGTATGATATCATCGAAGAGGACACCATCGATGCCCTCATCAGCAATGGCTACACCAGCAAAGATCTGTTACTCGTGTTGGACATGAATGCAGATCTCAAAGACATCCCGATATCGATGGCCCAGAAGTCGGTCTTAAGGAAACTTTTGACTGAGTTTCAAAATTCATTATATGAAGCATTCATTTAAAGCAACATTTGTTTCAATTTTTTTGTGACAACAGTTATAATGACTGCACAAACGATCGACTGTTTTACAAGAGTTTTCCTCCAGAGGTATGATATGATCGCAGAGGACACCATCGATGCCCTCATCAGCAATGGCTACACCACCAAAGATCTGT